AAAAGCGCCAGGGGGCCGCAGAAGTTGGTACCTTTTTGGGACTCGACTTCGACCTTTCGGAGGTCCACACGCATGGACGTGCGCGCTTTTGGGTTCGAGAGCGACTCGAACAGAAGGTGCTCACCTTCATGCGCGACGCCAGGAAGAGCGGGAAGTTCACCCCGGGCCAAGCCGCGAAGCTCTACGGTATGGTCAACTTCCTGGAGCATGGCCTCTTTGGGCGCATCGGTTTGGGCGAGATCCAGGCGGTGAAGTACGGGGGCTCCAGCCGAGCCAGTGCCAGCCTCCTGTCGGCCTTTGATGTGTTGGAGGCCATCATCAGTGTGCGACCAAGGAGGAGTTGATGGTCCTGCCCATGGACGTGCCGATGGTGGTGGCTGCCTCGGACGCGGCCTTGGAGGCCCCTCGACAAGGGTCCGGCGGATACCACCTGGTCTTCCAGGACGGCAATGTGCAGGTCCGGGAGGCCTTTGTGGCCATCATCCCTTCACAGGTCTACGACATGTGGGGACCCGGCGACCACAAGATCGCCCAGTTGGAGCTATTCATGGTGGCGCACGCCCTCACGGCGAGGCCCGACCAATTCTGCGGGAGACGCGGAGTGTGGTTCATTGATAACATCGCCAGTCTCATGTGTTTGAGTCGGGGCAGGAGCGACAACCCCGACTTGGCCAAGACGGCGACGTACATTCAGTGTTTGCTCTTTGCGTTACGAGCTTCTCTTTCCTGGAAGTACATCCCATCCAAACCCAATTGGGCTGATGCGATCAGCCGTTGGGACCCAGTGACCCATGGTACCAGGCCAACCACTTCAAGCTGTCCTTCATTCCCTCGAGTTCTAGTGAGGCTTCCGTACCGAGCAGTGATTACCTTTGCTGAGTTCCTGTGAGTGCGTTGGGAGGTTTGAGTGAGTGCCTTGGGAGATGCATTCTGCTTGATGCAGGGCAGCCAGAGCTTATCGGGGGTAAACCCGAGGTGCCGAGGAAATCGGCGAATTGACTGGGCCACAGCATGAGGTAATTCATGCTGTGGATACCAACGCAAATCCCACAGGAAAAGGTTGGTTATCTAGATTCGCATCGCATCGCTTGGAGTGAAAATGCTGCGGTGCTGTTTATATCAATCCTCCTTGGGAATGTAATCCTGTATCAGGTTGGAAGGCTTGGGTTTACAGGCTT